GTTAATTAAATGGAAAGTCTGAAGTGCAGGCTATGTGGTGAATGAGTCATGTAGAAGGACAATACTTGATAGTGTGACTTTGTAGAGCTGTGGCAGCATAATGGGCTGCCTCAAGGCCATACACTCAGAATCAAAGGTTCTTATTAGCATGTGAGACACTTCAGATATACAAAAAATGACACTAGTAGATACACAACTCACTCAGATCTTACTGAGATAAACTTACCTTAGTTATAATGCTGCCTACACAAAATGAAGTGCATTGAAAATGTAGAAAATATGTGACAGTAGAGAAGGCACCAACCAAGTGGCATAGTGCAAAATTCTGGGTCCCCCAGCAAAAGTAGGGGTCGAGCCCAGGAGGTTTGGAAGGGTGGGTGTTTGTCTACAGGTGTGATGGGGATAAACTAAACTGACACTGACTTGGCTGTAGTAACAAGGGAAAATCTCAAAGGAGTCTCTGCACTCTAACTTCATGGCTGCTAGTTCCTCTTCTAAAAAGCTAATTAATTCAGCCATAATGTTTTGGTTGATGTTTAGGTCTCAAAATCAAAGTAATACTGATGAATATATGACGACATTAGAAGGTAATTCACTTACATCCTCTGGGGACATGTCCTTCACTGAGCTCTAATTGAAAACACTTTTAATATGCTCACAATCATCAGTTTCATCTGCTTGGGGAAGGGGTCACACAACCAACCAACATTACAAAATGTAGTTCCACATGTCAAGTGCAGTTACACGTTTCCACCAGAGAGGTTTACATCTCCCAAAAACATATACGGGCTGCATTCAAAACCTTCTATGACCTAAGAATATCTCAGCCTGTTTGCATTGAAGTCCCTGTAGTTACTAAGCAATAAGCCTTAGTGTGTACTAAGCCTGGGATTTTAAGGGGGTTGGGTATTATAGCCCTCTACTGGGATGGCATGGTCATGTGAGTGTTTTTAAGGTTGTTGTTGGATTGTTTTAGCAGGCCAACAGGGCCAAAAAAAAAATTGCCAAAATGAATTAAACTCATGCCAAAATGATACCAGTTATATTAAGTATTTGATTATTAAAGTGGGCTAATTAAAGCACCCAAAAACTAAGACATTAATTGTAATGCAAGAGATACTGGGTTCAATTCCCGGCCGGGTGACCAGGGTCATTTCTGTGTGGAGTTTTCCTGTTCTCCCCGTGTCTGCGTGGGTTTCCTCCGGGTACTCCGGTTTCCTCCCACAGTCCAAAAACATGCAGTCAGGCCGATTGGACATGCTAGATTGCCCCTAGGTGTGTGTGTGTGTGAATGTGTATGTCTGTCTGTGTGCCCTGTGATGGACTGGCGACCTGTCCAGGGTGTATCCTGCCTTCCGCCCAATGACAGCTGGGATAGGCTCCAGCACCCCACCGCGACCCAGAAGGATAAGCGGTTTAGATGATGGATGGTTTCTCTTGTTTGCTCGTCACCAAAAAATAAAGACATCATTGTCTATTACTAGGCTAATTAGTACCATAAAGTTGATTCAAACAGGACTACTATTACCAAAGAAGCTCTGAGTTTGGTTAATTAAAGAAAGTAATTTGCTCTTGAATTATTAGTTAGCAGACTTATGAAAACAGTATAGATTCATACTGGATTGAAATCACAAATTTTGCCAAATTACAGCATTTTCGCTGGTAAAACTAATCCAGATCAAATAGTGCTTAAGCTAAAGGTTTTAGCATCAGTATCAGTACCAAAAAAGAAAATGTAGCCTCTAACACTGTACTGCAATATACTCCAGTTTCATATGGAAGCTCAGAAATCTGAGTTATATGCACAATGAGTGTGTTCCTTTAAATTTCCAGGCTAAACACTCATCATTCAAACACAGCTGCACAATCAATCCAGATGTGACTGTGAACAGCTGAGAGAAAACATGCCATATGTAGAGTACATGCAGAGGCATGCCAACTATAAGTAGCCAATTATAAATGTATAAAGGTTAGGAGAAGGAGCCGAGTCTTTGCATATTAATATAGACATAAAGCATGTTCCTTTGAGGAAATGAGATTGATGTAGGCACGTACAATATGCACATATAAGAACTATTGTTTCACCGAGAAAAGAGCTCACACTTCATTCGTTTGATCACAAGCCATTTAGCACAAACCATCCATCCATTATGTCTGGGTAATTGCCTATACTGTGTGCATAGCCAAAAGTAGGATTTTGGATGAAAGTGAAAGGTTGGAAGACTCTTAGGAAAGTCTTAAAGGGATACTCCAGCATTTTGTCAACCTAATCTCTATTTGCTGTATCTGTAGCATATGGTCAACTAAATTTTCCCATACTTAGGCCCTGTCCACACATATCCAGATATTTTTAATAATGTAGTTTTCAAAGGCCTTCGTCCATACCAAAACAGTGTTTTTGGTCACTGAAAAATGAGGTTTTTTAAAACACTCTTCATTAACCAAAGTTATATTTGAAAAAAGTCATAATTTCATTAACCAAACAGAATGAAAAGCTAGAAAACTGGACATTGGGTGTTTCAAAAGCAGTGGCGTAGTAACGTAAATAACCCCATGATAGCAAGCAGTAGGCTTTCTTTCACTTTTTCAGCTTTTATTTTCTGGCAGAAATCAAATGTAGGATCTATGTGTCGATTACAGAGCCTGCAATTCAAAGGTTATTGTGTTTGTAACATGCCGCCATCACTGTATTACAAAATGTCTGCTTCAGTGTCACAGTGCACTCCATATTTTGTGCAATGCTCACAGTGTTCATATGGCATTGAATATTATGAGGTTTTATCACCCTCTACTGAGATCATTTCTGAGTTGTAATTGTGCATTCTTAGAAATTTTTGAAAATGCGGTTGGTGTGGACAAGGCCTTAGAAAAGATCGGACATTTGGCTAATCAAAGCTTCAGTAAGTCAAATCATGTTAATGTTTATCATCTGTTCTAATGACATATAGCATGTTTAATAGCAAGCACGCAACTATTCCCAAGATAAATGTTTTAAACAATATAGGTGCCCAAGACTTTTGCACAATACTGTACATTGTACTTACAGTGCATGCTATCAGCAGATTGCTGTCAGTCCATTATGCCTGTGTCTAGTCATTTAACTCACATATCTCACACCCTTTTGCGGCACAGCAAGGAAATCTGTTGACTCAACAAACAATGAAAAGTGCATTTGGTTTAAATTGTTTATGTGCAGCAGCAAAATTAGTTCTATACCTATTAGAGGGGGATAATGGTGGTCCTAAGTGCAAATCACTTGCTAATTTACGCACGATTATACAGAATATTAGCGTATGAATCCTGGTCTGAGTCTCAAGAACACGACTCTTTTAAACGCTTTCCATTTGCTGCTTCTCTTTTTTTTTCATTTCAATTCCCCCCGAGGGGAACAATATGAACAGTACAGGCTGCTGTACATTTGTGTTGACTCGCAGAAAGCCATTATGAGTCCCTAATTTAGCAACTGCTGACACGTTATAATTTAAGCATATCCCATGATGCATGATTGACCCTGACTATAACCCCAATAATTGTGTTCTTTCAAGAAGTAAATGCATTTTATTGGCTGTTGTTCTCCAGAGGAAAAAAGGGGGACTGCTATAATTCTGGTACATGGACGAATTAATCTGAAGTTTGTTGGCAATAAAAGGCTGGTGGGTGTTTTAAATGACTTTTTTCACATTATCAGATGCTTCAGTTTTGCCATGCATAGTCACACAATACTCATTTAATTAAGTTATAGACACACAAAATTGAAAATTTCTGCATAATTCAATCATAATTTCATCACTGAGGTGTAAACAAAGTCCTTCAGAGTGGTTAGTTGTAGAGAAACTTACCAACTTGGTCAGTTGTGATAGGAACCAAAGATTGTGATGTCTGCAGTGGCCATTTCATTTATGCGTAATGTTGATGATGGTGAAATAATGGTAAATCCTAAAAAAAGGCCTTTTCTTTGAGGACTACTTGCCTTACAACACCCTGCATGTACCTTTCCATCATGAAAACCATATTTTACACCAAAAGCTTTTTCTACAACTATTGTAAAACAATGTCTCAGGCATCAGATGACACATTCATAACCATTTTAACCATAACTATGTAAAAACATTCTGTAAGGAAGCTTTTAGAGGCATTAAATTCTTCAGGTGTCTGAGTCATATCGCCACCAGTGTGAACAACTGTACCTCTAAATAACTCCACCAAATTAGTGAATCATGGAGATTTTAAAAAATACAGCTTGAGCTATAAAAAAGCAATTCCCTTTTTAAAAAGTATACATATTTGACATGTTGAAAGTAGTTGAAAGTTCATTAAACTTTAGAAGTTTAGCATTCTAACTGTAGTTTGCAATATTTAAAAGTAATCATGCAATATATAAGTAATAGATATATAAATTACTTTTAAGTCATTAAATAACTATTAATGATTAGTTACATTGTTATTACATACATACATTGCGATGTAACTAATTAGTAATAAGTGATTCAATCTTACATCATTCAATTTAATGTCTAAAAAATACAAAAATGTAAAATATGTTTGTTCTTTTTTGTAAAACAAGACTGTACACATAGTAATAACTTCAAATTCAAATCATAATATATCTCTTCTACTTACAAACACAAATTTAGAATTTGCATTTGCATCTGCTTGAATTTCTCTACTTGTTTCAATAAGATACCAGTGAGGAATAATGAATATTAAATTCTGCCATGCTTTTGTTATCAGTGATGATAACTATGACTTTTGAGGATTAAAAATGATTTGTTGTTGATTTGTAATCACCACCTAAGAAGATGACATCTAGTATACAAGGTAGAAAAGGTCTAGGTCTACTAACAGTGAGTGAACTGAAAGATAACATTTTGTGGATATAATAAGTGTAATATATGATGTATATATTTGGTTTATGTGGAAATGATGTACACATTTGAATCAAATAGATTCCCCTTTTTTACAGTACTTCAGTGGATTTGACATTGGTATGCCGGTCTGACCTTGACAGAGATTTTTCCTTCGTCCTTTGGTAGATGTGCAGCCAGGAACCAGTCTCCAGGGAGCGGGCTGGTGACATTGAACACCCCTGTGGTACGGTTGGGCAGCGTCCATGTCAGAGTGACTGCGAAAGACCCTGGGATGATGGTGTCCCGTGGGAAACGAGTGTTGAGGGGGTTGATCACTGGTGGGGCTCCTGACCTGAAATATCTGCCAAACAGAGAGACAGATGATATTGTGACACCATGGACACATCTGTTACACCATGGACGCATCTGTTACACTGCAGACAAATTAGCACCTGACATCTGCCAAACACCAGTAAATTTATATATTTTTCTGGCAGATTTGCTTCACCCACCAGACGCTGCAGCAGCCTAACTACATTAATGGACAATTTAGCTGGCTGGTTTTGCAGCTTATCAGCAAAGTTAATGTAATTAGCTACATAGTTTGCTAGTTACCTAACATTAGTTAGAATGCTCAGTATTTAGCACTTCAGAAAATGGCTCCCTACTCTGTTTCATAGTGAACCTTGGGCTGTAGTTATCCATCTCAGTGGTACAGCTCTATCATGGGTAGAGCATGATTGATTGCCATCACTGAGCTCAACAGGGAGCTGAACTGTCTGATTGATATCATGTAGTTGAATAGGAGAGCACATGGATTTCAAAGAGGATTATAAATTTTTATCTTTTTAAAATGATTTTTAAATGAGCTATAGTTTTTGCTGTACTGTTCAACCCCTTAAGCTGTAGGCTTACCATTCAGTTATTAATATCAAGGCATATAGCATATAATAGCTACTATAAATTATTCAGTAACAACTATGAATGTGTTATGTTTTGAAGTTATGAGAGTGAGAATGGGGGCTTTTAGATTTTAAGTTGTTAAATAAATGCACTACAGGTAACTTTAAAGGGTAATATCCTATGTTTATGTGGATTTATATATGAAAAACAACCATAATTTAGTTTTATATATAGTTTTATATATATAGTTGGTTAATGTGTTTTCAAACATCACCCAAAAATGAATCAATAAAATACCTAAATAAGAAAATAATAATAATAATAAAAGCCTGTTTATTTAGCTTTGTAGCCACATATAAACTGTAATAGTGAACATTGTATTTAAATATTTATAGTGTTTACTACACTACCAAAGCTTGGACCCAACTAGAAGAAATGTATTTTTATAATGCTAGACATTTTGATAAATACTAATGTTTAAATGCAAATGAAATTGGCTTCTTTAGCCATATTCAAGCTGGATTAGTTTTACCTGGGATGGTACTACAATTGTAGTGATTAAAAACAAGATCTGTGATTTTTTAATTCTGTATGAATTTACAAGATCTGTAGTTTTTACAAGTCTGCTAAGTAATAATCTCCATGATTAACCCAGGTTTATATATTCAGTTTGTGATTAATCCAGGTTTAGATACTCAGGCAAATATTCATCCAGATTTAGATGCTTAAACTGTGATTAATCACAGTTAGGTTTAAATAGACTGTGGCTTAGACTGTGGTTTAGATACTCAGGCAGTAATTAATCCAGGTTTAGATACTCAGGCTATTATTCATCTAAGTATAGTTGCTTAGACTGTGATTCATCCAAGTTTAGATACTCAGGCTGGGATTAATCCAGAGTTAGATATTCAGGCTAAGATTGATCCAGGTTTAGTTACTCAGGCTGTGATTAATCCAGGTGTAGATATTCAGGCTGTGATTAATCCAGGGTTTTTAAAGTAATTTATGTTGTTTCTAAAGTACTAAACCTAATTACATAAACATGACGCAACAGTGTGTTACATAAAAAACAAACAAACATGACATCACCTTAGTCTCATTAGATTTAGATAAGATTTTTGGGGGTTATATTGGGGTGAGGTCAGTGTGTTAGTGGGCTGGTCTAGTCAAAAGTATAGGGTTAGTTACCAGGCTGAAGTTACGGCAGTGCTTTTCTCATCACTGTTTTGACAAATCAAATAAGCAATAAACATCATACAATGATCGAGTGAGCAACAGTGTCATAATGCGTCTATGAGAGAGAGAAAAAGAGAGAGAGAGAGAGAGAGAGAGGGAGAAGGGGCCTCTATGGGGGAGTCACCCTTAAATCAATTAGAATTCAGAAGATGCTCCAATTTCTCTTTCCTTTACAGAAAATGAAATGGAGAATTGTGACTAATGCTAAATTATGCATGAACTGAGTCGTAAACAAATATTCTGACGTTACACTCTACTGTTAACGTCTCCAGCGTTGCTCCATCTGGGCTGTAATCTCGGCTAAATTTGAAAAAGAGAGAACGAAGCACAATTCAGCGAGTCAAATCAGACTTATTACCCTATTCTTTTGTTGTTTATTTTTGATATGGGATAGAGGCCTAATAGTTGTGCTGTGCTTAAAGACGCAGCCTGCCATTCAGGATTAAAAAGCAGCCTGACGCCATGAATCTGCTGCGCATCATACAATATGAAAGTCTCTTGAAAAAAGGCTTCACATTGCGTGATTATTTCTGAGGAACTGAAACTGCTGTAGTTTGTCAATTGTAACCCTGACAGGCTTTGGATACAGAAGCCCCTCGTGAATAGGCATCACAACAAAGGCTGACAATTACACTTTCTACATACTCTTCTCTTTTTTCTGTTCATGTTGGCGACTGTTTGCGAATGGGGTGAAAATGACAAAATGCTGAATAATAATGGGGTACACTTTGGATAATGGGTCGCTGAAAGGTTTCAAAGGTGCCACATGATAGAAGAATAGGGTAGACGGATCATATTTGTCTGCGTATTGTCATCAGCCATTATTATCAAAACTAGCTTCTCAGTTACATGAATATTTAACCACACAAATGCCTCTGCAAATACAACAGCAGCTAGTGTATCCTTGAAGGACCCATATCCTACATTTTCTTGCATTTATTACTTTTATTCCACTTGACGTTTATTTTGTTTCATGTGCCTAAAACATATCAAGTCATAATTCATTTTTCCGTAACCTCTCTTTATCCCTTCAAATTAAATAGGGTGTTTTTGTTACTGAGCATTGAAAACAGATGAATGCAAATGACTGCCTGCACCTCTTTTAAAAAGCAGACTGGAACACTTCTTGTAACTTTAACATAAATGGGCAGGGCTAAACTGGTGCAGGCTGAATAGGCAGATATATGTAAATGCACTGGTTTTTGTGACATCACAAAAACAGCTCATTCAAAAAGGGCTGTTGTTGCAGCTTATGGAGGCCCAGAGAGTGAATATTACATTTTAAAACTTTATTTCTTGTAATATTCTTGTAATTTCATGTATTGTTATTACAAGCATATCAAAACTCTATTTTTTTCCATGATTTGAACCTTTTGTTTATATTTAATGTTGATAATGGTAAAATTGTGATAAATCTGAAAAAAAAAATAGCTTTGGAAACTGTTTTGTACCATGCATGTATCTTGTGTTTTAAAAAATAGGTTTTTAGACCAAAATCTTATCTGAAAACTATCATAAATTAAGGCATAAGGCAGCAAATTTAGGTATTTAAGTCAGCAGATGTCTGGTTCCTATCATCATTGTAAACAGTTCTGACTTGGGAGATTCACAACAAACCACTCTGAATGATTTTGTTTACATCTTAACCATTTAATTATATAGAACATGTGAAAAATCAAGACAATTCCCTTTTAATGTTAAGAACATTTGGTAACACTTCTGTCAGGTGCTGTTCATAAGGCTACATGACACCTACATGACCTTATTATGACAACGGACATAGCCACATATAAATGTTTAGAAACGCTTACGTCATCTGTTATAAACACTACTTCAGCTAACTGATCAATATTGGCGAGTGTAACCTTTACAGCGAATGACACCTACTGGAATAATTTATGTAGGGTTATATCAATTGTCATGACAAGCTTATGCAGGTGTCATGTAGCCTTATGAACAGTACCCTACAGTAAAGTGTTACTGAACATTTATTTTACCTTCTCTTGTATTGTCACTATGTTGGAGATGAAGGTTTTCTCACGACAGTGACAATATCATCCTCACCCAATCTTCAAGAGGACCACTGCGGATAGTGTTTTTTCTCTCCTCCCTCAGACAGCCAAGCAATCCCAGAGGAGTGCAGCTCTAACCTGGAGGGGGCTAGGGGTCTTTGACAGGTAATAACTCAAACCGCAACTGCTGATGCACTGTAGGGTTATTAGGAAAGTCACGGCACCCTCCCCTCTCACTTCGAACCTCAAGGAGCTTGTATGTCTAGAGCATGTCACTATGGCCAGGCTGTTTTCTTTCCTTTTTCTCCTTGCAGTAAAGAGCTTCATTCTCATCCCTGGGCAAATCAGCTATGACTGGGGAGTGCTAAATTAGGGCTGTGCTCATTTACTCATTTACTCGAGTTATCTAAAAGCTAGCAAATTGGGTCTGATTCATGCTTGGTTTAGGATGCTTAGAAGCATCCTTGCCTGAGAAAACTAGACAGTTTGAAAAGAACAGGGGTAGTGAAATTCAGCCAATTTTTGCACTTTTTTTTGTAGTGGCGCAGAGTGACTACCGTATGATAATGCATCAAAATCGTTGGAGCTCGATTATAAATGCGAGTCAGGTTTTTGTCGCATTTTTTGAACCTCAAACTACCCTGTGTACGCTGATGAGAAAATGGAAAAAGAGCATAATTTTGGGCTCACTACATGCATTATCTGTCATGTTGCCCATCGGGATAATTTTCTACTTTGAAAACGGTCATTTTGTCCATTTCAGTTGGAACAGATTTGCGTTTCAAATCCATTATGAGATTGCAGTGTCATTTCTCAAAGGTGGGCAAAGAGTGGTTCTCAAAACTTCTTAACAAAAAAACTTCTGCATCATGAAAGTGATGATGGATAATGATTACACAGTCACTGTTTGCCAGTATAAAGTTAGCCTGAAATCCTTTTAAAAAATTAGATGCTTTATTGTAGTTCTGTCTAGAAGCTTGGCTGGTGATAGGCAGAGCTCTGAAAGTGGCGGGATCTTGAAAGAAGCTGTCAATGCTGACATTGTAATGACGGACATTGTCTCAAACTAAGTCAAATAATCTGCACTCATTGTTGCGGGAAAGTCGTTCGGAAACTAGCATTAGCATCACTGGCTTGATAAAACTTGCATATTTTTTTCTTTTATTTCCATTTAAATATGTGAATAAAGTGTAAATATAGAGAACTGAGTTTGCTCATTTTCTTTATATGCTAAATTAACTATTGACAGTGAAGCATTTAGTAGGTTTTTTAGTGTGTAATTGAAAAAAACAAAAACAAACAATACAAAATGGGCCATAACTTTTGCACAGGCCACATTTTGTGTTTTATTTTTTCCTCAATATGTTAAATTCATCAAATAAACAGTAGTTGTGCATTAAAATGTGCAGAAGTGTGTTCTCTGTAGAGGATGTGTTAACTTAGTTTCAACAAAATGTAATTTGAATGGGGCACCTAAACCTTTGCATTCTGTTTGTAGCTCAATGTTTTTGTGATGTCACAAAAACCAACACATTTACATACATATGCCTATTTTCCCTACAGCAGTTTAGCTCCACCTATTTGCACTGACGTTATAAGGAGTGTTTCAGCTCTGAGTGCTTTTTGAATGAGGAACAATACAGGAAAGCCTGTCAAAGCAGAGCTTATTTAAATAAATCAGTCTTAAAGGCACAGAATAAAAACAGCCTGAGGTTAGAAAATGGAAATGTAAGAATGAGTTATGACTGTTTTTGGTACATTACTCCACAAAAATGTCATAAGCAGCCCTCGAGGTAAAAAAATAAATCAATAAAATTTAAGAAAAATGCAGCACATGGGCCTTTCAACTGCTCAGTCTGGTTGTGTAGTGTTACATTTTTTAATGATTTTTATAGCTCATGCCTGCAAACTTCATTTGAAAGAAAGAAGCATTATAGTGTCAAACTAGTGGGAACTACTTAGCATATCATTTGCCTAATGCTACTCTTTGCTCTGTTTGTAGCTTTCATCCATTATTAGCAATATCTGCATATTGCAGCCTTTGATATCAGGATTGTAAAGATCATTAACAATTAACAAACAATGTATTGTGTGGCTCTAATAGCTGGTCTGCATATGTTTTTAGGTGATGCCCTTCTTTTGAGTAAGACTTAAAAATAGACCAGCGCACATGAAACTGCTGCCCTCTGGTTTCTTTTATCAGCATGTTTTGAGGCTCCGTTCTGCATTGAAATTATTGTCCATAGTAGAAAAGACAAGAAAGAAGAGCAGCACCTTAGTTTTTAATTAGCCCCTGGACACTGCATGGGGTCAAATCTGGTGTCAGTCTCAGGGTGCTTTGGTTGATGTAGATAATGTGGCACAGCACAGGCACATAGTTTAATATATGAACATAAGGATGGGTAGCAGGAGTGGGACAGCCCGGGGGGCCCATGGGGGGAAGAGCTAAGCAGTCTTAATATGGAGCAGGGCTCAGCAGCATAAATAAACACTTCATCATCAGAATGCATGGACACAGCTGGTGTCAGCTCTACCAGGGTCCAGACACACTTAGGGAAGGAGTGAACTAGCAAACTGCAAACCAGTGGAGAAAGTATGCACGGGTTTATTTTTAAAGGGACTTATTTAAAGGAGCGCTTCACCTGATGTTGCTAGTGTTGTATAAAAGCTAGAAAGCTTGAGCTAGAGGAAAGTTTTTATTTTTAAGGATTCTCACTTCACTCTCATTGTTTGCCACATTATGTTTTTAAGTCACGAATTGCTCACAAATTATGCGCTTTGTTCAATTTAGCTTTGTTGATTGTCTAAGTGAAATAAAGTACACATCTTCTACAGGGAACAAACTTATTTTGCAAATTTTATTGCACAATTTCTATTTATTTGCTTAAGTTTAACATATTGGACAAAAACATAGAATATAAAACATGCCATAACATGTGCACAGGCCATTCTATGTTTTATTTTTTCCAATATGTTAAATTCATTCAATTAAACAGTAATTGTGCATTAAATTGTGCAGAAGTGTGTTCATTGTAGAGGATGTGTTACTTATTTTCACTTAGAAAATCAATAAAATTTCATTTCACCCAGGGAGCCCAAACTTGTGCATGTGACTATATTTTAGTTTTCATTTATGAGAGAATAAAAATATGAGATAATAAAAATGTGAAATGTGTTATTCAATCATTGTGGTGGCACAGTATCAAGTTTTCAAAGTTGTGTGTTGAAAATAAAATTAACACATTCATGTTGTTATATTGTTAACAACAAAACTGAAAAATCATTAAAATAAAAATTCAGAAAGAATAATCAAACAAAGTTTTTTGGATTGGTTAAAATGCTCACAGCATGCAGTAAGAACTATGTGATTGGTTACAGAGATCATTTGTATATTGAAGCCTTCTGAGAGAGCAATACTACAATATGGACCCCAAGTGATATTTTTGTCTTTTGTCCAAAAAACATTGATCTTTGCTACATTAAAACAGCATGTATTCAAATCTGCCATTAACTCGCATAGAAGCCCAGCTTCAATAAAGTTCTATGTGACATACTTTCTGCATTCATGCCGACTACACCAGGGATGTGGGAAGTCGGGGATGCTGAAGGGGCTGCAGCATCCCCTGATTTGAGGACTGCAGCTGCTAAAAACAACAATAATAATAATAATAATAATAATAATAATAATACAGAGAGCTGAACTTTTTAATATTTTGAGAGTAGTAAAGACTCATGTGTGCTTGATTTAGAGTGGAATAAGTATTTTCATTACAGCAAGCCAAATCGCTTCCCTTGACAACTGCTGGCCACTTTGGGGGTACGTCGCTAAGGTGCAATGAGTGAAAGTATGTGTAGAGATAGAGGCCAGTTCTGAATCCCAAAGCAGCCTAATACTGTTTTTAAACTATTAAAAAATAATCTTATGTAATAACATCATATTATCAACTGTTGTATTTCCCACTGGGTGTGCTTTTCAGTGTTAAATCTAAGTGCATGACTGTGGGCATGACATGATCAGTTACCGCGCCACATATCAACAATCTGATTGGTCGGCACTCGGGTTAATTCACATAAAGCTTGGCCAGAATGAGAGAGCAGAGAGAGGATGTGCATCAGCAGTTTGACAAGGCAGTAACATGTATATATTGTCGTGTCTTGCCTCATTATAGTGCAGTATGATGCATAGAATTTTGCATGATCTCATCATTCATATCACGCATACGCTGCTTAAAATTTCAGCACTCCCAACATAAAACGCCTTCCTGCATTCCCAGACTATACTGTCTACCAGATACAGCTCAAATTATATAAACAAACAGCGGCAGAGTGCAGTCACACAGGCCATATTGAAATGTGTTCTCTGTAGAGGATGTTTTAACTAATTTTCACTCAGAAAATCAACATGTAAGTTGACTAGGGGTGTACAAACATTTGGAATGTATGGACTTAATAGCAATATATCTCTAAACGTCTATTTCAAGCTCATTTATTTAACAAGAAAAAAAGTGTGGAAAATTCAGTCATTAATGATATTGGCCCTTGAAACATTGCTTGAACACTGTGTTTCGAGCCACTAAGTACATCAGTTCATGGTAATTGTTGGCAGTTGGTCTATAGTAAAAGTCAAGATGTGTAAGATAGGGATTAGTTTAAAAAAGACTGGAATATATTTACCAAAAAAGGTTGTGGTTGGGGGGGTGCATTTATTTCACGCTTCTCAGATCAGGGCCATTCAACAAGTGCAACAGCCGGCACATTACACTAAGCTTCCAGATCACATGCGGCATGCGGTGGCTGGCTAGCTTGTTTTTTTTTTTCCCCCATGGACAAACTTCTTCCGTGCTTCCGTGCCTCATGCACTGCTGGTTGGCGAGATGCGCTCCAAAGCCCTGGCTTCATTATCCATGGCAGAGCAGGCAACAGTCTGTTATGACCCAATTAGTGCTGCCTCTGTACATGTTACGGTGCATTAATGCGACGCTCGTCAGCGGCGGATATGTCTGACCCTGGATCTGCCGCTGGGGTGTTTGTTGAAGTGCTTGGCCCCCTGTGAATGACGCCCATGATCAAATCAACAAGGCCAGCAGCTGACGCACTGTCTTACACTTTAAAAGGTCAAACTCCTCTAAACCCTCCAATGTCAATTAAAGCGGTGAGTGGGTTTAGTGTGAAACTAAGGCTTTTTGTTCATTAGTGTGTGGAGAGGCACGATTGCTGGAAAATTAGCTCTTTGTTTTCACATGCTGTGCTGCCACTAATACAACAGTTCTAACCACACAATCTGATTGGCTGAAAAATGTTTTTCCCATGTGATTATTAAAGTGCCTACATCATGGAAAACTTTTTTTTGAACTAAGAGAGTTTGATGTAATATGTTAACACCATTACAGTTTCAAAATGTACCATTCACCTCTCAGTCCATACAGACCATATGCAGAAACTAATCCAGAAAAATAGCCCAATTTTAATTCACTGTTTCTGTGATGTCATGAAAGTCAACTCATTAACATATATACAACCACCCAGCCTACAGCAGTTTAGCTCTGCCTATTCGTGCTGTAGTGTTTTTCAGCACTGACTGCTTTTTGAATGAGTATCCAATCAGAACAGAGGTTATTTGCATACATCAGTCTTATAGGATCAGCAACAAAAACAGCATATTTCTTTGAATATATTTATTCACTGCTCGGCTTCCACCCTGAGAAAGCACACAAACAGTTAGCTGACTGAACTAAACAGGTACTATGTTGTTCTTATGTTGTTGAGTCCCAAATTCTGGTGCATGTATACCTAGTGGTGCACCAATAAATTCATAAAAATTACATAACATTTTCTGATGTTTGACATTTAGACTTAATTTAATCATTCATTTCAAAGCAATGTCAGTTTTCTGGGTAGCATTGCAGTCTGGCATATATGCATGATTAATGAGTATATGGGATATTAATAACATCCAGCACATGACAAACCTGTGCTGTAGTAAGTATTTTGCTATTATTTGAATAAAAGCCTGCATTGGATGATTGCATTTCACTCCAGTTCCTTTTGCATGTTGTGCATTTTGGAGCTACTGACTTAATAAACAGTTCATTCCGTAGTTTATCTGCTCTGTTATTGGCATGAATGAAGTGAGTATCATTTACTACCTATTGTTAATGCTTGTATACTCCTTGTTAATAGTGTACTTAAGCTAGTTTCACTTTCACAGACGCCATTCACTTTGTGGATGTAGTGAGGTATTAGTTTGTAGATGCTGTCATTAGCACTTTAGCACATTTTGGTTGCATGTTTCTAGAGCTGGTTGGAGCTGGAGGGCTGTCAAAACTAAACAAATTATGTTACTGTGCTGAATGTGATCTGTGGCATGTTGGTAAACATTTTGTTATTCACTGTTTATTTTACAGCCGCAGACTCTCTCACACATACATAATGTGCCCTCATATAGGCCACTGTGAATTTGCAAATAGCATGATTTATTCGGTATATCTGGTGTGAAGTGTCATCGCATCATAAACATGTTTGATCTTTTAAGAGGGACTGATTTTATAAGGCTTAATAATGTCTTCCATATGAATAATGGCAATATGTGCATGTATAAGAAGTGAGAAGGGATACGCAGCAGGAGATTTCATGTCTGAAGGGGTCCCTGACAGTAAAATGTTTGGGGACCACTGTTTTAGAATGACGGGTATAATAGATATTCCTTAAATAAAAGCTGTGGTGTGTGTTTTATTGTGAGTGCTTGTCAGCTAAGTAATTTAGCTAACAGGCTGTAGGAGTGTCACTACAATTCTATTTTTAATTGAGTAATCTACCTATTATCAAGTGATCTGATATTTTCAAAGGCCAAACCAGAAAACTGATGTCATGGATTCCAAGTTACATTGAAACAGATATACTAGAAAGTGTCATTACATAACAGTCCAATCATGAAATGCATACAGTTTAATGCACCTTACACAGTATGCAAAAAGATATGTAAATCATGAGCACTAGAAGAGCATACTGTGATCAGTCTCAGGACAGAATTGGTCAATTTTTCATGTTTGCTGTCAGGTCATTTCCAATCATATAGCCAAACCAACCTTGTAGCCAATATTTTCACATTTGTCTGCAGAAATATTAAAAAAAGTAATAGAATAGTTTTTTTTCTGATGGACAACTTACTCTTACTTTATTGTTACTTTTACTTATTCTCAAGTAAATTACCACTACAATAGCAGTATTCTCACTTTAGTAGGACTTTTCAGTGCTATTTTCACCCCGATGTTCAGGACCATGGTCAGCAGACCGATCTGCCATTTGCTTGAGGGCAGATTTAAAAAGTTCAGGTAAGTACATTACATGTGGTGGGCACAGTACTTTTAATACCAAACCTACATCAGTCTACCTCCTTATCCCTAGAAACCTTAATAGAACCCACTACTAGATAAGAGGCTGGAGCACTTTAATAACACTGTGGCTGTACAACAGCAATGAGTTTCAACAGATTTGCATCCACATCCACCTGCAGCTCCAGCGACGAGCTGCAGAACCATGTATCTATAGGAAGTCAGTGGAGCAAGTTGCATCGAACAACAGAAAACTGCATCCCAAAAAACAACCACAGAAGTCTTCATGTTCACGTCTCTCATCTCCCAATTTATGACTTGATTAGCTTTGTTGATGTGCTCATCCCTTGGATCTGATATTATGCAAATGAATGGCATAAATCTAGCTGTTCTCGTGCTTGTCTAAACAAACAGGCATGGAATACAGATTGGGCTGGAGCCTTTAATTGAGGCAAGGGTTTTCTATCACTGTTTCCATTACAGAGATTCACAGACAGAGCGACTGGTCCCTCAGTGAGCATATGATAGGCATTAGAACCCCAAGATATCTTCATTTTGATGAGGATGGGAGGAAAAAACATAATCAAAGCTGTAAAAAGAACATGTTCTGTATTTTTTCTGTAAAAATAAAGTGCTACATTTCCAATTGAAGCTGAAAGTCTGTCTTTTCACACATGTGAGTTATGATATTACCTCTCTACATTATTGTCTTCTTATTTGTAGAACACATAACAGCACTAATCTCCATAACACGACTAATCTCTGCATAATCAATCTGAGTGATAGTTAAGCCAAAAATCAACAATTACTCAATTTTCTCCTCAGCCGGTGGTGCAAAAGTGGGGATGACAAACAATAATTATAACAGGAATAATATGCGTTTTCTGATATATATTCAGTATATTAGTTTCTTGCCATTTATAGTGGCAGGTTTGGTTACTAAAATATATTGAGAAACATTGAACTCTTTGTCTGGTCGGCATGTTGAGATTAATATTTTGTTTAAAAAAAACTGATAATGATAAATGTGACGAGGAACAACAAAGGGCTTTCATGATGATAAATGATAATGGCATACAGATATCCAAAAGTTTGGACACCCTTGGACATGTTGTTAATGTTAATAATAATAATAATAATAATAATAATAAATGACATTTGTATAGCATTTTTCTAGGACCCAAAGACGCTTACAGATTACAATTAGTGGCACAACAAACAAATACTTAACAACATACAAACGGATGAAACAGCAGAGACAGAGATACATATTCACAGCACAGAGACAAACTACCATTAGCTATAATAGTTTAGGATAAGGTAAGATTGTATGCAAGACAGAACAGATGTGTTTTAAGATTGGATTTATATGAGGACAGAGAATTAGACTGCTGAATATGAGAAGGGAGAGAGTTCCAGAGGCACAGAGCTACTCTGGAAAATGCACAATCACCAAAGCTGTGGAGTTTAGAGGAGGGAATAGTGAGCAGACCAGCAGTAGAAGAACAGAGAGTGCGTAAAGGCTTGCAGGGTTGGAGAAGATCAGAGCGATAGAAAGGAGCAATATTGTTGAGAGCTTTGGAGGTGAGAAGAAGGATCTTAAACTGAGTATGATAGTTGATGGAAAGCCAAAGGAGTTTTTGGAGGAAAGGTGTAATGTGGTGATGAGACCGGGAGTAAGTGAGGAGACAAACAGCAGAGTTTTGAACTGTCTGGAGTTTACGAAGTGATGAGGAGCTGATGCCTGCAAGAAGAGAATTGCAATAATCTAAACGGCTAGAAATGAAAGCATGACTGAGAGTTTTAGCAGCTGACTGAGAGAGAGATGGTTGGATTTTTGCTATATTGCGTAAGTGAAAGAAAGAGGTTTTAACAAGGGAGCTGACATGACAGTCGAGTTTACGTGAGGCGTCGAGGATGACACCCAGATTACGGACCTCAGAGGAGGGACACAAAACAACATCATCATTTGAGAGAGGGAGGGGGCCAGTTTTATTGAGTGCAGATTTAGAACCAGTGAGAATGAGTCCAGTCTTATCACTGTTCAGCATTAGACAGTTATGTTTCATCCAGTTCCTGATTTCTGAGAGGCACAATTCCAAATTGCCAAGAGGGGGGTTAATGGGCGAATTTGTCCAAAGATAAATCTGAGTGTCAGCTGCATAGCAATGAAAGTCAAGGTTAAAATGTCGAATAATCTTGCCCAGAGGGAGCATGTAAATAATGAATAATAATGGGCCAAGTACAGAACCTTGTGGGACCCCTTGGGTGACAGTGGAAGTGGCGAAATGATGCCCAGAGAGAGTAACAAACTGTTTACGATCTGTTAGATAGGAAGTGAACCATTCAAGAGCATGTTTTGACATGTTTTGATGATTTTCTAGGTGAAAATAAGTTTACATGTCCTCTATAGAGAACATAGCTCTGCACATTTTAATGCACAATTACTGTTTATTAGTACAGTCAATAAGTGTTGTAAGATTTGTTCCAAAATGCATGAAAGACCTCTTTCACAAATTATCTCTTTTTTTCATTATGTACATAGTTGGCAGTGGACTTTACACATACAAGAAATATAAATTCTATATTATGATTAAAATTAACTTTAATAGAGAAACAAAAATGTGTTTTGCATGATATGTTAGTTGTTATTATTACATATTATTAAAATGCTTAATATATCCAAAATGATTAATTATGGATAGACAGTATTTTGGAATGAACCATTTATAA